CGTCTGAGTCCCGCGTACGGGCATGTAAAAGTTTTGGCTAAGAAACTGACAAATCGGGAATCAGAAAAGCTGGAGATCTAAAATTTTAAAGAAATGTTTTCCATCTACGTACAACTTAAAGGTTTCAAATTCAGTTCTAAGGTAAGCGTGGTGCTTGCGTGTGGACAAGTGGAAGTTTTGGCAGGAAAGCGACTAACTTCGGAATTAGAATATACAAGATCTTTTCAAAGAACGACCGCTCGACTGAAACAATACATTTTCCTTTATGCAAAATTCACGGTGAATACGCAAGTTAGATGTAAGGGAACAACCATTCACACAGCTAACGTGATTATTTTAAGTTTTGGTGAAAAAATGCATGATTACACCGGCAAGCCTGGTGCGTATTGGTCTAGGCCGTTGCGTGCTATGCAAACGCAAAACCGTATGTTAGCAAGACGCTGTGTCTGTGTGTTCGCACTTTTTGTCGCTTACTTCCAACTTATAGACCAGAAAAGCTAGAAGGCTGAAAATTCGAAAGTATGTGTCCATCCCTTCGTTTTAATATTATCAGTCATGTACGCCTGGGCCCCACGTACAAACGCCTCAAAGAACATGCAAATTTTTTGGAGGAAGGACGATCTCGAGAGCGAGAATAGGGGGGAAGTTAAAATTTTAAGGAGATGTTCCCTACCCACGTATAACTTAAAGCTGAAAGTTTGACGGAATATTCCGCGTGTACTTGTGAGCTAAAGATTTCAAACTTAGCCTCCAGGTTCACATGGTTCTCATTTATGGGCACGTGAAAGTTTTAGAGAGAAAACTGCTAATTCTGGAAATAGAAAAGCTGAAAGACTGAAATTTTAGAGGATGTCTTCCGTCCAACCACAACTTAAAAGTTTCAAATTCAATTCGCAGGTACTAGTGGCTCCCATGCATTCCTGAGATAGCTTTTTGGCCGAAAAATTTGCATACTTTTTAAGGCGTCCCTACGCGGCATCCAGGCGTATGCGAGCGATGATATTAAGCATGGGTTGTAGGAATATACTTTTGAAGTTCCAGCCTTCTAGCTTTTCCAGTTTTCGAGCTGAAAGTGGGTGACAAAAAGTGCGGAAACACAGATACACAGAAAAACATACACACACAAACAGCCTTGCCAATATCCGCTATGCTGTTGCATACATGAAAAAAAGCACAAAAAAACAAGCAGTGGATTCCCCTATTTATGAAGCTGGCCTTATTAGCTTCCAATTTTACCTAAGCATCAGCTTCTTAAATGGTGATGTCCCCTACTGATGACGAGTTTTTCGTTTGCTTTTATTTTTTTCTTGCTTTAGGTTAACTTTTCTAATTCTGATTTATTTCTGAGCCCAAACTTGTCTTAATTTACTTTTTTTTTGCATTGTTTTGTTTTCCTCTCTCTTTACTGCTGTCTTCTCATTCCGGTTTTATTGCTGAACCCAAGCTTGTTTTGATTTACTTTTTTATGCGTTTTTTGCAGCTATGCAATGCAGAAACGCATATTGACGAGAGGTTGTCTGTGTGTGTGTGTGTGTGCTTGTGTGTCTCTGTGTTCGTCTGTACCGATTTTTCATCTCGAGACCGGCAAAAGCTACGGGGCCGAAACTTTGGGGACATAATCTGCATGCACGTACGGGTCCCCATCCCCAAAATTGGTGCCAAAACCCGCGTGATACCCGCGTACGGGCCCCCAAAATTTTTCCCGCGCATATTCATAACTCGGGGTTCCGAGATGCTAGAAAGCTGAAATTTTAGGGAATGTTCCCCGTCCAAGCAGGTGCTAATGAGCTCAAATCTAGCTCTCGGGTAAGCGTGGTATCCGTGTACGGGCCCCCCAAAATTTTTCCCTAGCAAATTCATAACTCGGGGATCTAAGAAGCTAGAAGGCTGAAAACTTGGGGTAATTTTCCCCACCCAAGCGGGTATTAGTGAACTCAAACCTCGCCCCTACCTCAAATCCCACACCCAACAAATGTGCTCTTGCAATGCCACCCTCTCTCCCCGTGTCCTGTGCCTTCTGCAGTCCACCCGCCCTCGAACCTTTCCTGTACCCCGCGTATCCGCGACAAAAACCAGCAGCAGATTTCCCCCACTTCCCGTCCACTACTTCCTTGTCCCCTCTCCTTTAGGTAGCCTAAGCAACTGCCAATGGATCCACGTCACGTATCCACCCAAGCTACCCGTTCGTCCTGCTTGTAGTCCTTGCATCCGGGGCCCCACACTTGGTACCCTTCCTCCTGTCCCCGTCACCCTACCCAACACCAGCGTGGCAGTGGGGTAACGGTACCCTAGAAAATGGGCAGTGGGGTAACGACGGGGTAACGATACCCGAGAAAATCGTTAGCAAATCGTGTATGATACCAAGCGAGCCGAGTTTTAGCATTTACCAGTATTTCGACTCCCTCGCCACCTCACCCGTATCGCTCTTGTGCTGGCGAAAGAGAACGGAAATAAAGAGAGGTAGAGACCGATGCAAATCGCAAAAATTCGAAAATTTTCGCTAAATGGCGTTCTGCCGGTTATTGTGTCGTAGATTCTGCATATTTGGAAATGGGCCAAAACGAGTGGCGAAGTTCACCACCGTTGGGGTGTGTCGTGGATTTTCCGTGGGGGGTTGCTTTTTTGGATGTTTGCCCGGTTGTTGTGTTGTACACGTGTGGTCGCTTCGGGTTGTCATTCCATGTGAGGTCGCAAATTTGTCAAATTTGCTTTGGGGCCGAATTGGGGGGCAAATTTTCGCGCATTTCTTCGGTATTTTTGAAGTAATTTCGGGGAAAAAGGTATTAGTTCTCATATTCTGATTCTCCAGCTGTTCGGCTTCTTTGACCAGTGGTCAGCTTGTTGGCGATCCTGACGTTCGTTTCTTTCATGGACTGCACTGCTAATCCAATGGTTTTTCTGTTTTTTTCGGTTGGAGCGAAACTGCTTCTGGTTGCTTCGTCCTTATTTGCTCTCTTTGACATTGTTGAATAATAGGGTAGAAAGATTCAACTTAAATGTCATGTATAAAAAGACATTTTACGGTGCAGTCTCTCTGTGTGTTTCATCCCTTAGCTGGAAACACAGACCGGACTATGCATGCCGGTAGAAGTGGGAATCGTCAGTACAGCCTCCTATCCGCCATGTATTGAAAGGACATGTAACTAATTTGCAAG